GATGTGTCTTGCACAAAATTACGGAATTGAGAAAGACTTGGCTTGTTTCGGATGTCCGGTTGCAGGCAGGTGTGGTGTTTCAGATACTTGGGGCTGTGTTCGAGAAGGATCCTTCCCACCTCCCCCACCCCCCAGCGTCGGGTGAACAATTCTGGGCTGGGCAAGTCTTGTCGGTCCCGGGAAACGGAGTGTGTTGTATGTGCCTGAGGATTGGAGGGAGATGCAGTTTTTCAGGTGGATAGGGACTTTTTATAGGTTAGCAGAGCAACCTTGAATTGGATGCAGACGTGGACTGGTAAGCCAGTGCAAGATAACGGAGGGTAGGTTGTGATGTGTTCAAAACGGCTTACCCACCTTGATAATCTGGGCAGCTGCATACGGCACTAACTGGAGCCTCTGCACTAATCCAAGTTGTAGATCATTGGTCCTTAACCTGGGGGTGCGAGATGTTCATTCTGGGGGTGCGAGATGTTCATTCTGGGGGTGTGAGATGCTCATCCTGGGGGTGCGAGATGTTCATTCTGGGGGTGCGAGATGCTCATTCTGGGGGTACGAGATGTTCATTCTGGGGGTACGAGATGCTCATTCTGGGGGTGCGAGATGCTCATTCTGGGGGTGCGAGATGCTTATTCTGGGGGTGCGAGATGTTCATTCTGGGGGTGCGAGATGCTCATTCTGGGGGTGCGAGCTGCTCATTCTGGGGGTGCGAGATGCTCATTCTGGGGGTGCGAGGTGCTCATTCTGGGGGTGCGAGATGCTCATTCTGGCGGTGCGAGATGTTCATCCTGGGGGTGCGAGATGCTCATTCTGGGGGTGCGAGATGCTCATTCTGGGGGTGCGAGATGCTCATTCTGGGGGTGCGAGATGCTCATTCTGGGGGTGCGAGACGTGGCCAAATTTTTTTAAAAGGTAAATAATCTAAAACACAAATGAAGCACGGGCACGTGAGTGCAACGACTTTGTTTCATCAAACCTCTGTGCTTACTCCCACACAGCTTAAAGGACGCGACCTGGGCTTGGATGTTTTCACTCCAACGCTGTCCTCATGACAGCACGGTCCCTTCACCTGATGAAGGCCACTTGTGTTGTGGCCGAAACGTCTTGATTTTTGTTATTTGATTTTTTACCTACGTGACTTTGTCGAATAGAACCAAAGAGTATAAACCTCTATGTGTTTATTAACATTAGACATTTTTTTAACGACTGAGAACCAAAGGGGTGCAAAGGCAGTGCCGGATTATCCTAGTATCAAAAGTAGCATTCGCTACGGGCCCCAACACTAGCTTAATCCGGCACTGGTGCAAGGCTGTAGTAAAGGTTAACCATTGCCTTCGATGGTGGTTGTTGAGTGAAAACGTAGAGTCCAGAGGCATTAATACCGAGGATTTCCCAGTGATTTGAGACCGATGGCGGAGCCGGCGATGGGTGCAGGAATTTCCCCCACTATGCATAAGGGGTTGCGTTCCCGGGAAATTCTACTTAACTCGAAATTACTTGAAGCAAACTTTCATTTCCCGCAAAGGCAATGTTCAAATCAGGGGTTGCGTTCCGAGCTGACATTTACGGAAGAAAAAATATACGACTAAATGTCATGAAGTATACAAAATACATGCGAACTGCATACGATTAAGAGCATCCTTATCGATACCTATTGGGGTGAGCAGTGGTGGCGTTACGCAGACGACGGGGTAGGATGAAACTACCTCTTCATCTGACAATAAAGCTGGAGCCACATGAATGTTTACGCCGTGACTGTTTGATGGGAAAAATGTAGACCGCACAAATGACCCAGGACGGATCCCCTGAAGGATGCCAGCAGTGGATGTCGTGAGTGGCGTGGGATGAAGACTTGCCATGCTTGACGTTAGGACCTTCTATGCCTCTCGTGGAGAAATCGAATTCTAAACGCTCAATTAAAATCTCACGGTTTTGAGTGCCGAAGGGGGTAGATATGTCGGGTCTGGTTAGAGCAACGGTTTTGCCGGAGTCATTGTAGCATTCATATGAATGACCTCTCTCACAAACACCACTGTCACTACTCCCATACACCTCTCATCTGTCTCAAACAAAATACTGACATCACTCGTTCTTCACACCACAAGTTTAATATACACACACAGACAACGCAACATGGCTCACCCCTTCACACCCGTGGATGTTGTGAACCTTTGCTGACGTAATGCAATCAGTTGATTAAACTCCCTTCGAAACGTCGTAGTTTTTTTGTTATCTTCTTTGAACCTATCTACGTGACTTTACCGAAAGACCCAAAGAATATCACACTTTCTGTGGTTGGGCTTACGATATCGAACAGTAGAGACCACCACGAAACAGTTCCAGAAACAACGATTTATTTAAACCCATACGCGAAATTCCATTTCAGCTGAACATCCATACCTGTCACAACAAATAGAGATGTCACGATTCGCACCACCCTCTTCCACGATCGATTAAAAAATCGGTATGTTTGTTATTGTAACGTGGCCAACCTCATTACATCGCATGCAATTTGTATGTAGAGGAGTCTATACGAGATCAGTCGGAATACGCCCGAACTCAGAAGCTAAGCAGCCTTGAGGAGCCTGGATAGCACTCGAGTAGGGAAACGTCTGCTGCTGTTACTGCACCAAATATTCTGCCCACCTTGGCGAACCCACGCCGACCAGCTCATTGGAGTCCCGTTTGGTCAAACATCCTCTACGACGCACACGAGGCGTGAGAAGGCCCTCGTCCAGCAGTGGATCGACAAATGGGATCTGCCGTCAGCATTCGAATATAAATATATCGATTTCAATTATTTGTATTCGTTGCGTGCGTTCATCTCGATCATCCCCCTACACTTTCGGTATTATAATCATGCGTCCGTTGATACACTCGTGTTGCCATCTGGCGGTAACAAAATGGAACTATACCAAACCCCCAAAAATACAGTATATTAAGACAATTTAAATTGCATTAGGAAAGGAATTTTAAAAACTCCTTAAAAAAAGATTTGTTTTTAAAGACAACGGTTTTATTAACAACTTCGTTTAAATTTTCATTTAAAGCTTTCGTGACTGCAGGGATTCATATTCTTGGTTCTTTCGGTAAAGTCACGTAGAAGGTAAACAATAAATACAAATATAAAACAATAACATTCTCACGGCGTTTCGACTGCAACACAAGCAATCATCATCAGGTGTGAAAACCACAGCAAATTATCTTGCTATGGTTTTCACACCTGATGATTGCGTGCGTTTTCTTGCTGTGGTTTTCACACCTGGTGATGATTGCTTGTGTTGCAGTCGAAACGTCGTGAGAATTTTGTTTTATATTTTTTCTTATTTTGTTTCCCTTCTACGTGACTTTACCGAAAGAACCAAGAATATAACTTCGTTTAACTCACGGTCGAGAAGTACGTCAATGATGCAGCGCCTGCTCCCCCAACATCAACGCTTACTTGAATCAATAACCTCGGTAACTCGTTGACACGGAGCAGACGCGCCAGAGACACGTGGCCGCCTGCTTCTTGGGCGAGGCGATTCCACAGTTTAGAGACCGCGGCGTTTTTCAATCTACACAAATATATAAATAATAAGGCGTCCATACAAAATGTAAATAGCTTTAAAGTAGAGAATTAATTGATTAATTGATGCCGATTTTGATACAGGCATGCATTGTCACCGGATCTGAGTACGTGTGCAAAATTTTGGAATTGATTGGCCAACAGGAAGTAGACAAAATTGACTACAAGATTTGACCACGACGAGTCAAGTTAAGTAAAACCGTTGAAAAAGACCGTAAACTTTTGGACGAAGATGCGTATGACGTTACAGAAAAGGGCAAACGAAAGTGCATTCAAGACACTTCAAATATACAGTACACGTAAAATACCGTAATGTGTTTTCATGGTGCTTGTGAAAAACTTTTACAATCAAATATAGGTCAGATACCGGAGTTGGTGATTACACTGGTACACTCCATGATTTGCAAGGCAGGGGAAAGGGGTGACGTTAATTAGTTTGGCTTATCAGCTTCCCACAATGCCTGGCACGCATCTGATGGATAGCTCTCCGTTTCAATTCGGTTCCTACAGCAGCTTCCGGCACGCGCAGCGAAATGTCGAATATCGTGCGGAACAACACGTGGGTACAACTCGGAAACATCTAGTCAAGTATCGGTGAATATATCCCTGGCGGTAATTACTTTGGCGAGCTATGCACAGCTTAATCACAAAAACCTGGACCGTAGTGCTCGTTAATTAAACTGGCAAATCCCAATGTAGCAGGCTCCTCTTGAAAGTTCCGAGACTTGGCGAGGCTTTCCTGGATAAATAAATGGTTAAACAATGACAGCAGTAGGGACGTTTTTCAATTTTGTTTCAGCAAGGTTAACGTGTAGATAAAGTTTGGAAACGTCAGCCACACAGCTCTAACTCTCGCTCGGCATCAATTCAGATGTAACAATGTCTCGCCGCACAAAGTTACGGCCGTTGTGGCATAAAAGACTTTAGAAACCCATGCGAGTACACACCAAATGAACCAAAACCTCACGCACCGTGCTAATTGCATCCTCAACCTGCCCTTAAGATCAAGTACATATTTACAGTTAACGTTCGTCGCAGTCGTCACCGCACCTTCGCGAATGCAAAATTTTATAAAACTAAACTTTGTCATCGATCAATGTAACGAGGACACTGTCCTTGTTACTCCAAAGTGTAATTATTGAGACATAGGGAGTTGCACCTTACTGAGGCTCTTCAGCGATCTCAACCTCTGCTGCAATTTACGACAGGCTATCTCAAAAGTTCACCCCTGGTTGTAGGACACGGTGGAAAAAAGAGCCTCGGGTCGGCCAAGGAAATCCGCTTCCCAAGTCACCCACGCGGCATCGCCAAAATCCCGCAAAGAGCAGTTGCCGTCATCTTAGGGAAAAACAAAAAGTTTGATTAAACTTAAAATGCAAACCACAGCAATTGTAACCACTATTGTTTTTACATTAAAATCGTAAAAAAAAAGATCTCGTATGGAGTTGAAAGTGATGCAACTCAATTTATTTTTTATTTACCCTTCTGTCCTTATATTTTGTACGCAAAGTGCAAGTACAAATAACCAATTTTCTCAATAGCTGAGTAGTCATTACAGGCAGACTTACAGCCGAAGGATAAAATTTGTGTTCGTGAAAAGACCGCTTGTGGAAATATTCAGCTGTCAAATCACAGCAATCTTTACCCGTTACTTGCCAACACATGATTATACTCCACGCATTAAAATATCTTAACCCCTGCCTTAACCAGTGCCACCAATAAACGTGATGCAAGTAAGGTCACTCATTCCACCCATATTAATATATTTTATTACCGCTTCCCCAATAGCAAGTTTTTTTGTATAATGTGTTTCAGTTACATTGTTTTTGTTCTAGCTTATTATTTAAGAATGACGTCGTTGTATTAACAAATAACATTTAAACCTTATGGCGGTATAATGTCCGTGATGCAGTCATTTTTAGTCTGTTGATGGTCGGCGATGCTGCAATAGACTTATCTCGAAGAGCTGTACACGATGCACCACCACGGTGCGTACGAGTGTTCAGTGTTTCAGCGCAATCGTCTTCGCTGTGTTTCGACATCGCGGAGTGTAGCACTGATTTCAGATTGATTGGTACCCCAGTCACAGAGTTAAGTACACCCCTGGAAAAAAATGTCCCAGAAATACAATATTTAATTTGCCTCGGGCCATTATGTATGATTTGGTACCCAGGGTACCGTCATAAGGATAATTTTGTTCAGTTGGTCGGTCTCAGCCCTAGAAACTGCAGTGATGCATAACATCTCCATAGAAAGACAAGAAAGTGCGCAAAGATATTCCGTCCGTTGAGTACGTGAAAAAACACAAGAGGCCTTCGCTAATCAGCTCAGGCCTCCGACTCCGTCCCCTTTCCAGGCTCCACCCCCTTGTCCATCGCTGATTGGTCATCGCTCAGCCGCAGCGTCTGTCCGTCACCCGACGTTGCATGCTCATTGGACGGTTTGGCCGACGCGGCAATAAGGCGGCTTTGCTCCTCCAAGTCCTGTGGTCGGGGTAGAAGGCCCACAGCAGGCGGTCATGAAGAATGACGTTAGATGACAAAAGGTTTAATGGGCTCACTCGTAATCCGTAATATAGCTATTTGGTATGAAGTGACATTTTTACATAAGATCTTTCCTAATTCGTTACAATACCTTCCCCATTCTCGAGTATTATTGTAATTCAACTTTATTATTATTACGACTAGCTTTTGGCAACACCACTGTGGCAATGTACAGAGAAAGATTACTGTGTAATCAGGGTCTCATCCTTGTACTACTTTTGGTTCTGGTGTTACAAGCAGAAAGACAAACATCTTTCAATAAATCAACAATAGTATGTTGATGACGATAACAAGCATCTTTAAATGGCAATACAATTATTAAAAAAACTAAATTATTCTGCTATCTGTCGTCCGGTGTCTGTAGAGAGCCATCACGCACAACTAATCATCCCCAATCACTACACTATACATTTCTTGCCTGCCCTCCCCAGGAAAGCTTCCTGACACGTACCTGTTCAATGGCCTTCTGCTTGTTCAGTTCCAGCTCCTGTCGCTCACGCTGAGCCTGTAACTCCAGCTGGCACTCTGCCGCACGGCGCTCCTATACGCACACGCAAATGAGACCACAAACTCATATTTAACGCTATGGACTGTGTAAGGCACAGTAATAGTGTTAAGATCAGCATGACATGCAAGAGGGTGGGGGTTTGGCTGTCACGCCCGGCCCCCTTTGTCTCTCCAGTGCTGATGTTTACACACCGCAACAGTTTACTCATTTAAGGCTGAGTGGTCTCAGCTAAAGCCCAGGGCGAGTTTAGATATTCGTCATTGATAAATACATACAAATACGAAGATCCACCGTATAGCCATACAGATTGTCGAGACAAGTGCGGAGACTGAGCGCCTACGAAGGCTGGCAAGGTAAACGTGGGGGTGATGGCGAACACCATGCCCAGCCGCCTTTGTCTCCCCAGTGCTAATGATTACACACCGCAACAGAAACTCATTTGAAGCTGAGTCAACCTAGAGAAGGCCCAGGAGCGGTTCAGATATTTGTCACCGATACAACATATATACACACACTCGTGCACAGGAGCACATGCCTAATAACGTGGCGGCACATCACACTTCACAACCACAGGGGCCTTGAAATAACAAGGCTGTAAAAACACAAGAGTGCAAAGGTTTGAGCGGCCAAACGAATCACCTGAGCAGTGCTGGACCGAGACCGAGAATGTTTGTTGTGCACGTGATGTTGCTTTGGCCGGGCTTTGCTTCAACTCACCAGCGTGTTGTGAAGCGAGATTTGTTTTCCCAGTCCGATCGAGTCACAGATCTGCAAAGCAAACGGTGAGTTCTAACATCAAGGCCTAGTATAGGAAAATTATCTGTCACTCACTCGCCGTCTCCTTGGTGTCCACTGTATCCACTGCATCTGTATTTTGATTTAGTGTGCTGATCTTAAAGGTGCGTTGAAAAATGTGATACTCCGACTGATGCGCCTGTTGTTGTGGAGTGACTCATGCAGCCAGCTATAGCTCTAGGGTTTGTGTGTTATATGTTATTTATGTAGTTTATTGTTAAAAATTCGGTCACAGTCTGTATGATCACTGTTATATTGCATTTATTGATTTGTTTTGGTGATTTCGAAAACGTTTTTTGGTTTTGGCCATGTTTTTGTTTATTGTAGTATGGAGTTATACTTATGGCCTTAATCTTAGTTGTCTTGTGGTTGTTGTTGTTTGACTTGCATCCCACTGGGATTTTTGCACACAGCGTTGGTGTACGGTGCTATTTCAGGAATATTTTGATGTTTTTTTTCCTGGATTTTCTGTTTGCACATTCACAGAGTCACTTTAAGATGTTTTCTTGTTCATGGTTTTGTTTTTTTTGTTTGTTGCTGTTGCACCCGATTCAAGAGCCGAATGACTCACATGGCTATACCAAATAAATGGCACTATGAACTATGAGAACACCCACAGCACTTTCCCTCTCGCATCTTTCCAACGGACTCTTAGATCCTTCAATAGACTGAACAATTTTTAAACTGGTTTTGTGTCACACACAGGGGCTGTCGTAGATAAGCAGAGCCAGGGGCCATAAACCAACTTATCAGGTCAAATGGGATTTTTTTTGTAATTTTAACCTCGTTCACATTATCACAAGATTAAACATCACACCTCATTTATTTAAAATTGTGGAGCAATCTAGCTTTTCCCCAAACAAGGATCCCCCATATAGTCTTAACAGACTGTAGGAGCAAGTGCTGTTTGTGAGCACCTATGAAGGCCGGCACGGCACACGAAGGGGGTGGGTGGCCAACACCACAATCGGCCGCCTTTGTTTCCCCAGTGGCGATGTTTACACACCGCATTAGGGACTCATATGAGGCTGAGTGGACCTAGGGGAGGCCCAGGACCAGTTCAGATAATCGTCACTGGTGTTGACCGTGAGTGGGAACCGAACCCGGGTCGCCGAATTAACTGCGCGACGCTCTAACCACCGCACAACCGCTCCCCACAGACGTACATACACACATAAATAAAACATACACAGATGCCAATATTATCCTCATGAATAATAGAAAAAAAAAAGCCCTGGGGGGGCTCGACCACATGCACGTGACGCGAACCTCCTGTGCCCTCACCTTCTCGCCCTCGTTGTTGGACTCGAAGACGTAGCAGGAGAGCGAGGTCCTCCCCTCGGGCCCCACAGCCGTGGGTGTGTGCAGTACAAAGCCAAAGAGACGGCGGTTCTCCGAGTGCGGCGCGCAGCTTCCCACCTGGCGCAGTGGGAACTGCGAACACGCGCACAGCGGTGAAGATCGCTTCCGGTTGGCTCGGCATGCTGGGCTCGAGAGATGTTCGCGAAGCGCCTGTTAAGGCTGGCGCGAAACACGAGGGTGGAGTCGAGGCCAGCGAAATGTCTCGATGATTTGGCTTCCCCAAAGTTGTTGTTTTGCGAACTACCTGGAATCAAACCCTGGTGAGCAAAGTTGCAGAGTGGTGCAATAACTACTCGGTATGTAACGAAGCATTGTATTGTTTTGCTTGAGATACATGGATTAAACTGTGTTTGTGTGAGAATTGATTATTATTTATGTATGTTTTATGTAAATGGTTCACAAAAACTCAAGGCACTTGAGGAAATACATTTACCAAAATATCGAAAAAATAACTAATCTCGAATCACAACCCCAAATTGTGACAGTTTATATAATCACAATACGTATTTACATATCTACTTGCAACTCTAACATTACCCCCCATCGAGTCTGCACGGCACAGAACTATTTTAATTTACAGTGTATTACAGGTAACCCTTGAACAGCAGCTGTTTAAGCTCATTGGGCCTTACCTGTCTCAATAAAGTCTCCAACGAAGTTTCAATGTAACACGATATCAAGACTCTTTGGTTCTATTCGGTAAAGTCACGTAGGTAAAAAAGAAAAACAACAAAAATCACGACGTTTCGGCCACAACACAAGCGGCCTTCATCAGGTGAAGGGACCAGGCTGTCTCGAGGACAGCGCTGGAGTGAAACACAGCCACGCTCAGACCACGACACTGGTCATGGCACACGAGATGCATTTTTTTGTGCCAATCGTGTACATGTGCACGCATGTACGTATGTATGCCTGTGGACAACACGGGTGGGTGTAGGAGGTCAGAGCAATAGTTTACTTACACCAATCCTAGTGACTTGCGACTGAGGATCTATCAGCCTGGAAAAGAGAGAGCGAGATTATTTTTTTTTAGAAAAGCCCAAAGCTGTACACAAGCTACCCAAACGTGCACTAACACATGCATGTAAATAATTTTAACTCTTGTTAGCAATTCAACCCACTGATGTTTTTGCAGGCAATAGCAATGACACCATTTGATAGTTACGTAAAATTTATATTAACGTATTTATTAAAATAGCAGAATAAGGTATACAAGGAAACATTATCTTCATTATGAACTATGAACCATGATTTATCCATTCCCGGATGAAGGACTCGACATGTCATCACCATTGCTCATGATCCCAGGATGCAAGTCCATCTCGCTCCTGCGCGCTGACCAGAGTGGTGAAGTATGGCCAAATAACCCCCACAACCCACTATGGTGTGGAAAGACCTTGATTCATCAGTGCATTGGCAAAAGGGCTGTATATGAACATATTCCAAAATATTGATGAGCACTATGTGTCATATCTCTCAGCCACAAACAGCAAATGAAAATCCAAGCACGAGTGTATGTTGCCTCTTGGTAGTGATGTAACAGGCAAGAGGCTGTAAAGCTGGCATGGGCATCCTACGGCCAGTGGGTCAAAAAAAAGTCCACAACTTTATTTCAGCATGAGGCCTACTACCTTGAAACGGCCCACAAATGTCATTACTGGCCTCATCATTGTGAGTATGTTAGGTGCTCTTAACCAGGTATCAGATTATAATATTTTTGAGCAACAACTTTTTAAAATTCTGGCACATTCAGCCACTTATGTCACTGCACGGTTGGTTACGTATGGTGTGAAAGAAGTTAAACATACATACAAGAGCCTCTTGCAGATGTTATTGAGATACGTTTACAAGAGCCCCCCCTCCCCCCATCAAAGGAATTTTAAAGTAAAATTCGATACTGAAAAAGGATAAGGCTCTCCACCTCTCAAGTTAAAGTGCATTAGTTTATCCAGATAACACCTCAAGACAACAGGGATATAAAATAATTTGCAAGTGACCTGGGTCACCAAAACGACAAAAGCAAAAACAAATAAAACCCCTGACCGAAAAGTAAGAGAATTTCGGGGGATCGAGCGAAACCACGGTGTGAATGAAACGTGTGAAAATATCATACAAAGCCAACACGAGCGATAGCTGTGTGGTGCTCGAATTGTAAATGTTGTCGGTTTACGATACAACACACGGTTGTGCTGAAGTAGTAACTAATTGGCATGTTGTTTACGTGCCAAACCTTACTAAATTTGCTGTGTCGGGTGGTGGCGGGTTAAACGACAAATTTACATTTATGCGATGTAACCCATTATGGATTATAGTTGCTACTCAACCCGTATCCATACGAAAGTGAGAGGACCTGGCGCCGCGTTGCTACCTGAGCTGCGAGCAGGTGACGAGCAGGTGCGACTCGGTCATGCGGAAGATGCTGTGGATGGCACGTGAGGTCAGCACGTGCCGTATGGTCTCGTAGATCACGTCGGGCCCTGGGTCGGCGCCCACCTCCATGCAGCCCAGGAAGCGAACCACGTAGAGCTGCTGCAGCAGCTGAGACTCTGGGTGTCGGGAGGACGGGCGAGCGGGTGAAAGTGGACGGAGGGGACGCGGCGTGTTACAAGCCAATAAGACGTGGGGTCGCCAGGTGGTTATCATACGTTTGTGGCGATGAGTTGGGGCACAAGTGTGGTCTTCTAGCGAGGGCATCTTCCCTTAAATTCTTGCAGATGCCCACAGTATAGTGGGCACAATGGAAAGCACAGTAAACAAATACTTAATGCCCACTCAAATATTTGAAGAGTGGGCTTTTTTGGCCTATGTTCACTAAGCATTTCACAATGAATTGATGTAACGATTATCTTGCAGTTAATTACATTAACGAGACTTAAGAAACAGAGATACACATTACATCGTGACAATTCGCAAAAATAGTGCGGGGGGGGGGGGGGGGTACAATCATCAATGTGCCTCATATGTACACAAAACTATTTCGTGGTACTTACACCTTAAACCTGACTTCAAAGTGCTACAGAGGAAACAACTGTGACTGATAATGAACATAACACATGGGCATACAGACTTAATGGCTATGTATGCTTGCCTTATGCACACACCAGTGTTATTTGCCCAGATAACAAATTCTCGGCACAATTGGCAATACCCACTGAAATCATTAAGGATGTGGTTGAGACCTGGCGTGGCTTATTTATCGAAATGACTTGTGTGTTAGGAGCAAACAAACCTTCAGAGCCTGGTTGATCCTCCTCTCCCTCCTCCCCGAATGGATTCTGCCGCCTGGAAAATTAACGACAAGGTCAATATCAGTGCTTGCACTGCATTCATAGTCAATCATGGCCAAGCAATGTTATATGCAAAAGCATTCCACTAAATGTTGATCTGAAGGTAGCATGATCCTTACGAGTCATGTTTGTAATTGCAGAGGTCAACGTGGGGCGTTGTCCGTGCTTGCAAACACTCCACCCAGGCGCACATAAAAACAACTCGAGATGAAATCTCTTGCAGGCTGAACAAACCAATTGTTGTTAGGGAGCCCATTAAAGCTAACACAACGAACGATAAAGTGGTGCATATACACTCACATGCATGCACACATACACGCCCGCACACGCCCATACGGAAAGACAAACATCCTTCCCCATAGCGCCTGGGTAAGTGCTGTGGCTACCTATGAAGGCTAGCACAGCACATGAGAGTGGTGATGTGACCACATCACAACCCCCAGCTGACATTTTTTCCCCTCTTGCTGACGTTTACTCACCGTGCCAGGTACTCATTTAATGCCGAGTTAACGTGAGGTCCAGGAAGGGCCCAGATAACACTTGTCACTGATGTTAGCCATGACGGAAAATCGAGCCCAGGTTCCTTGGGTTGTAGCACAGTGCGCTAATCACCACTCCCATCCACATAAAACAGCAACAAGCACCATTTGCAAGGAAGTGATGATGCACTTTGAGGCGACATTAAGTGTCGGAGGCTCGTTGGCAGGTCACGTGACAGATTGAGGTGTTTTACAATGTCAAGGATCCCCCTACAGGCATCATAGAGACTGTTGGTGCAAGTGCTGTTAGTGATCAACTATGAACGCTGGCATGGGACATGCGGGGGTAGGCGTGGTCAGCACCATGCATGGCTGCCTTCGTTTCCCAGTCCAAACAAAGATCCTCTGTATAGCCTGAACAGAATGTTGGGGTAAATTCTGCTAGCGAGCACCAATGAAGGTCCGAATGGCAGACGAGGGGGTGGGTGGCCAACACCACGTCCAGCTGCATGTGTTAGCGCTCAAACAATAACAGACATTATCCACCAAGTGGCTCACTGACAGGAAGGTCACGGGACAGACCCAGGTGCCATGGGTTGACTGACTTAGATGACTGGCAGATGTACCACCGATGCCCTCTACTGTGCCAACTTGCTGCATATCAGCCGCCCGGCACTTCACTCATTGTTGTGAGCGTTGCTCCTCTGCCCTCCATTGATGTTGGAGGGAAACTGCCTCCAACTGCCCAATAGCATCCTTCACGAGCCTCCTCCATAGAGGCCGACATTGACACTACTAATACCAGTCTTCGGCTAGTCCACTCAGCTCCACATCCTCCTGTATCGCATCAGTCAATTTCTTCTCCAGCCTGTGCTGTGCCCTTTTAATCCCCTCTATCCGGACAAACAGAAGCTGATTGGGCATGTGGTGGCTGGGCATTTGGGTTACATAACCCAGCCAATCCCGTCTTGTGTGCCGGAGGAGCTCAATGATGGGAATGTTTCCAGATCTTTTAAGGAACATAGGGAGAACAGCCTGAAAGTTTCAAACCGGTGCAATGGTCTATTTGAGGGGTCCACCTTTCACAAGCAAAGAGAAGGAAGAGCATGACTGTGGCTGAGAAGACCCGGAGCTTCATGTGGAGCAACAGATCAGGGAGTTTCCTGTGTTACGCAGCTGATGAAAAGATAATGGCTCTGCTGATTCAGAGACCTCTGCTGCCAAACCGGAGTTGGTTATAAGCACACTATCTAGGTACGGAAGCTTCTCCACGCTCCACAACTGCCCCATGGGAAATTGAGGTGGTGGTGGTGTATTAGATGATACAAAATACCCAGGCCAGATGCTTAGTTTTGGTGGGGCTGATATCTGGTAAGGCGCCACCTCATAGTGGCACTCTTCAGATTCAGCAGCAGAACCTCCAACTCCATCTCAATAGTGAGCAGCAACCACCAGATCATCAGCATACATAACATGGTTGATCAGTAGGGAGCCATCCCTTGACTGCACTCTGGCATCGATCAGCCTCTCATTGTATCTGTACCACTGGTACAGCAATGGAAGGCTTATCGAACTTCTCGAACTACACAGATACAGACAGGCGCCTGCTGACCTTCCTCCGGTGCCCCCGGCCCCCGTGCCTCCACGTCCCTCCTGCTCCTCCGTTGCCGGCGAGATGATGTCGAACTGGATCGGCGTGCCCGGCACCACGAGCTGCAAGGTGGTGGCACGGTGGGGGGAGGCCTGGGCCGCCATGGCTGTCTTGGCCGGCGTCGACGCGGGGGTGTTTGTCGACGAGCCGCCGCCACTGCCGCCAGTCGCCGCCTGTGCTGCGTCATCGCTCACCGAGGAGCGGGGACTCGAGGTGGAGCTGTGGGGGCCACGGCAGAAGTGGGCTCTCTCGTGAGGTGTCAATGCCAGCCTCGAAATGTAACTACAGGCGACTTTCCTGTTATACAAAGTCACACGAAGGCATGTGATGGTGCATCAATGTACATGTATACAGTCCTTCTGTATGTGTACATGTACAGCCTTTTTATCAATCCACTGCTGGATATGTGTCTGTGAGTACTTCTGATTAGCACGTGTCGGCTACGTATGGTGCAAAAGAAGTTCAACATACATACATAGTAATTAATCCAGTGGTTAATGTACCATATTATGAGTTCAATTCCTAACCATGACTATTATCAGTAGAGAACATATGAACCAGTCCTGATCTCTCCTGAGGACTCAGTTTGAAATGAGTACCTAGTGCAGTGTGTAAACATCAGCAGTGGAAAAGTGGCTGGACATGGTGCTGACCTACATAACTCTTGTGCACCATGTCGGCCTTCATAGATCCTCACTAACAGCAGTTGACCCAAAAGTCTGAATGGCTCTACAGGGGATGTTCATATTCATGTCTCTGCGCGTCTATACTGACGTGCGTGGTCGCAGGCTTCGGTGTCTCTCCTGGAAGGAGGATGTGGGCGTCACGGACTGCATGGCCGATTGGTGTACGCGTGCCGCCACCTCCTAGTACACGCACAAGACACACACACACACACAAGCAAAAAATATTACATGCACACAAGTTCACGACGAGCATGCAAAACGAACACACAGACATCTGACACTCACATGCAAATGACACACACACACATGACATGCACACACGTGTGTGAAACCCAACTGGACAAGACACATATGTGACATGCGAACAACACACACACACGCACACACCCGCATACGGCGGCCACATGACATGCAGAAAGCAAGCAATAGTCTCATCTGTAGACATACTCAACGCATACACATACACGCACACAACATGACAACACGCAACACGAAGTTCCCCCATATAGCCTTAAAGAGACTATTGGGGCAAGTGCTGTTAGCTAGCACCCATGAAGGGTGACACAAACTACGAGAGGGTCGGAGGTTGTGCCGAGTCTATCCAGGGGAGGCCCAAAAGCAGCTCAACTATTCCCTGTGCTACGAACTTGGTTTGCCAAGTTCGTAGCATAGGGTGCTATCCACAACACTACCGCTCTCCGATGCAAACATGCACACAGTCATGTACATAACGTAGACACACAACACCAACATGCCTATGGCACGAAAAGGACATGAAAGAGATACAAAGAGTGGCGAGAGCTGGAGACAACAGCTATAGCTCAGCGGTCACATGTACAGAAGTTAGGATGTCACAACGCCATGGAGACGTCATTGACGTATATACATGTGACACTGCAATATTAAGATATCATGTGACGTGTTACAGTTAGTGCGCTGTGCTACGAACCCAGCTACCCCAGTTCGATTCCTGCTCATGGCCAACACCGGTGACGATTATCTGAACCGGTTCTGGGCCTCCCCTAGGTGGACTCAGCCTCAAATGAGTACCTGGTGCGATGTGTAAACATCGCCACTAGGGAGACAAAGGCGGCCGGGCGTGGTGCTGGCCACCCACCCTCTTGTGTACCGTGCCGGCCTTCACGGGTGCTCGCTCACAACACTTGTCCCATCAGTATGTTAATGCTATATGGGGTGTCTTTGTCTTAGCTACCGCTGCACGAAAACCCCGCATGGCACCTGTGGGTTGTCCGTAAGGTAGATCTGACGGGAGATGTTGCTGATCGTGACAATCCACTGGGGAAGAAAGAACAAAAACACACATGCACACCCTTGCTCTTATTTCACATTATTGTATCTGAAGAATACAGTTATTACATGGATGAATGTCAATGATTTGGCGCGACGAAACTGTGCCATGTGACTGTGAGAGCTCACCTCTTCACATTCCTTTTTGCTTTCGGCCTGTAATATCACCACCCTGTGACGAAGCACAGTTGACACAAAGCATGACCCTTCGATCAATACAGTTACTAAGGGGCACCTTAGTAACTGATTATACTGTTATTCTGCAAAATTAAAGAGAAATCATAATGCAATTTGGAATTTATATCACCGACCGCATGTGTTTTTTAATAGAGGCAGTCAGTCATGAGCCAGGATAAAGCAGGGTGGTCTTGAGCCTAGACTTGAACAGGGTCAAGATGTCGACAGCATGGATGACTGGGGAAACTGTTATCAGTGATTTTGTGGTGTTTTTACTATAGGCCAAGTAATCTGCCTTTAAAAAGAGAGGGCTCAATTTGGTAGCAATGCACATTTCGCTCTATTCACGATTCGATGAGATGTCATGACGCTTGTTCACAAAGCAATCAATGTTTCACTATTTTGTTACCATTGTATTTACTATGATGTTTCCATGCACCAATCACTTCTATATCATTCAGCTAAAGACTCCTGTAAATCACGTGATTTGTATGGTTACTCCCACTCAGATGCTACTCCTCCATGCAGCTCACTCCTGCTTGCTCCTTCCTTCCGTCTTCTCCCTCTCTTGCCTCCCCTCTCATCATCATCACCCTCTCAGCCCCAATATCTTGGCCCAGTCATTCCTTCTCCCTCCTCCTACCCTTCCTGCCCAGTGCTGCTCCTTTATCACTGCTGCTCATCTCTGTCTGTCTCAACTCCCCTTCCAGAAGCGTCCCACGGGTAAAATGTTTTAGACAAAATAAATACATGAGAAAGGAATTGATTCGTACACACAGTTTGATGTACCTATCACACGATGAGAATCAATTTCAATGATGAATCATCACATCTCTACAATCATGGGTAGGGAAACATTCATAAAGGGTCAGCCATGGGCTAGAGTTATGGGCCAGAGGTCAGTCAGAAGTGAGGGGTCAGTTGAGTTAGGAGCTCAGTTTCCCAAACCGCCCAACAATAGCCATAATGTGAGCTAGAACTGTGCACATTTTCAAAAAAGTATGCTCTCAAATTATTCTTTAAACATTTTTTCGACGAACCACTTTCTTCATGTGCCATCAGCATCATGTAACGAGACAATGGAATTTCCATGCAGAACTCTCACAGCGAACGGTACGACAACACCAAGTGTCCGATAACGGACCCTGGAGGAAGGGGTCAAAGAACTGCCTCTGACTAGATGAACGCTCACAGAGTAATGAAAACCTCCGTGTTAGAGACTGGCCCAGATAAGTGGATTATCACAGAGCTACCTCTGAGATCCCTTTTGAACAGAGGTGACTGGAAGGGAGCTTGGAGGAAAGTTGATTGTGAGTGTAATATATGTTGCAAGATAAACCGATATTTCTTGCAGAGCTGAAACTGAAACCAAATGAAGTGCAGAACTAAATGTAACGTGATGATGTTTTTGTGTCCACAAATGGTTGCTTACGACCCAGGATTCTCAGTAGTGCCAACTCAGCATCTCTTACCTATGATCTACCCAGCCACATCTTAACTTGCTACAAACTTGAGAACCTGGTTTAATGTAGGGTAACTACCCGGTTCCAAACCTGTCATCTCAGCGGTGCAAGGCTGCTGTAATATTAACCCTTTCCCGTTCCGATGACGTTCGTGTACGTCACCAGTTTTTATTACGATACCGTATCGATGACGTACGTGTACATCATCAAAACAAACCCGGAAGAAAAACTAAGCTAAAATAACTTTGTCGTTACCGAGGCTCCCACAAGGCCATGTGGGAGGGAGGCATGTGGCACAGTTTGGCGCCAGTTATCATGGAGTGCAGTCGTGTCGCTACAGTTCCCTAAGGTGAGTACAATGTCTTTAAAAACAACGGCACTATGCCTCTCTAAATAACATTAACGCCGAGCCACTTGTACGTTCCGAGAAACAGAGGTGAGCGGGACCTACTCTGCAACCTTGCAGACGTCTCGGAATGGGAAAGGGTAAATAAACTAAACTAATCCCCTTAGCCATCTGACCACCTCCAACAATCGAATCTTACACCTAAAATGCAAGTTACATAGGAATAATTTTTTTAAAAAGCATTCGAGGTCAGCAAAGGGCAAGAATTACGGCTCAATCGAGTGTCAGAGGCGAGTCGTAAAGGGCTTTGAGAGCCCAGCTTCCCACGTTACTATGGCCCCGCAGCCCCCGGTCGGCATCATGCGCGTACTTTTTCCCGTCGAAGGCGGAAATCTGGAAGCAGAAGCGGCGATCCTCGCAGTCCACCGCCATGACGGAGGAGTTGTCGAGGTCCATGACGAGCCCGCCGGCTACCGCGTCGCGTGCCTGGCTCATGAGGTTCCCTCCCTGAGTGAAGAAGTAGAGCCGCTCCCATGCCGATGACACCAGCCCCGTCTTACTGTATGGCGTCAATCGGCACGGCAAACATACACACACACGCGCACGGCAAACACAGACACACGCGCGCGCACGGCATAACATAGAAATTTACGGGGACGCACAGCAACGGTGCCAACTTGGTCAGGTGGCTGACACGCAAAGTCTTTCTTTAACACTGTTATTCCACGGGTTGTTAAGACCTTCTGGAAAGTAAGACGCAGCCCCAAACGTGCGTCCAGCATCGATAGATCTGTCAGTTGGACACGGGAGGGGGGGGACACTGTGATATACGTGACCCAATATTAATTCAATGGTATTGCTCATTAGCAGCTGACTGTTGATGAGTGGCCAAGGTGATCAAAGGGTTGCCCAAAACATTTGAAGACACAAACCACAAGAAATATCAAAATTTATTTAGCTTTGACTGCTACCAGCTGGGCTTTAATACTGCTAATTAAAGACTTCCGAAGGCTAGCCTGTGTTGGAAAGCATTACGAAACAATGCGTATGAATGATTTTTTCTTAACAGATTTGTCAACAACCCCGTACTGAAGGTAATTGCCCTTATTTGCAGGCGAGAGATCTCACATAGCAGAGCTCTCACTGCTGTGAAGAAGGGCAGCTGCCCGGAACGTCGCCTATCACATACGATATCGTGTGGTTTTTTTTCCTCTTTAGAGAAAAATCATTGACCAACGTGTTGAGTTTTAGTTAATCGTGCTTGCGCACCACTGGCAACACGGCATCGCAGTCATGTTTTTGTTTCATTATTAACGGCCAAGCGCCGCGTGGTGGAAGCGGGCCGTGCGCCGGTGCGCCGAGCGGACAACCGTGGGCGCCTCGTACTGCCGCAGGTTAAGGTAGCCAGCTTTGCGCGTGAGCGTGCAGTCTGGCATGGCGCCGCCGGGCGGGGGTTCGGGCGAGTAGAGATGCTCGCACGCCTCCAGCAGCTCCTTCACCCTGAGGTCCGAGCTCTCCTGCTCTGTGTCCAGCTCCTTGCGCACGCTGGGCTCCGAGGATGAGAGGTGTGGCGAGCACGTGGTGGGGGGGGTGAGGGGTGGGGGGGAGGAGGGACATGGGATGGGGCGGGGGGGGGGCAGGCGTGGGGGAGGAGAGGTTACTTCATAGTCGAACTGGGACAAAAATATCCAAGCTCAAACCTGCTTAACTTCTCAAATCTGATGAGATCAGGCACATTCTATGTAATTTGTTCACAGGCCATGTAATGAGGGGCACCAGGGTGGCATGACGTTATCTTTCTTGCCTGGTTTAGAGGACGAGATTTGATCCCGAGACTAATGCCTGTGTATTTGAAGTTTGCATGTTCTCCTCGTGGTAGCGTGGATTTTTTTCTCCGGGTCCTCAGGTTTTTCCCTCCACATTTAGATTTGGCTGCAATAAATTTTCACATGCTAAGCCACTTTGTTGAGCTATCATTTGTGGCCAGTGGGCCTTAACTTGTGAAGTAAAAATTGTTTTGTTTTATTCGTTTTTTTATTCGCTTAACTTTCCTATACTTTTCACTCCTATCGTGTTTTTTGTATTGTTTGTCGTTGTACCGTCCTCACCAGCCCCTATTGGGCATGTGAAAAAGAGCTTTATAGCTCATCGGATTCCTCCAGTATAAATAAATATTCCGATTCTGTATGGAGACAAATACAAACACCTAATGTACTGCATGTTGCAAGGGTCTGGAATTGCATGTGTAAGTATGTACACGCTTTATTGAGAACCCTACCTCTGAACGCTGGCGCAGATGTTGCCGATGAATTCCTCCAGCTGCTGGGAGAGACTCTCGGACCCCATGCGGAAGAATCCAAACTGAACACGGGCCAAGGACATTAAAAACAACACCACTAAACAGGTGGTACTTACAACATGCCTGGTGCAAACAAATTGTCGAAAAATCACTTAACTTCGGATTATATTTTCGCACTTACCAACATGCACGTATCCTTAGAATTATTTAATTCGCAGTACTATAGCTGCTGGGTAGCTGTAAAGATAAAATGCATTTGCATATCTTCTTTTGCTCTGGATTGTTAAATCCATGTATTGGATACAACCTTTGAACAATTTGTCAGGATTTCAAAAGACTAAGTCCCTAATAGCAACAGAACGTCTCACGCCAGTTTAGTTCAAACCGGACCATCTTTACGAGTTTTTAGACACCCCCCCCCCCCCCACCCTCATTATGGACAGACTGACAGAGCTAATACACAAACGTTTTCAACATTACAGTCCTTGGTAATAGTTCAAAGTCACAGAATAAATTAACATATTCATGGAGGGACACTGAAGTCTGGTGGTATGCTATGCCTTGACACATCTCATGGAAAAAGGTTGACACGTTAATGAATCAATTCATTGATTAAAACCGATTCTTATGCTCACAACACACGTGTGAAATCGTGCGTGTAAGAACAAGGTTTTTCGATTCTTGCATCGTGTACGATGCTAGGTATTCGTGTTTCCAGTTCTGTTCCTCCGACATATAACTTATGTTGCTTTAGCAAACTTGTTGTACGTGACTTTTGCTTTTGCTCATATTTATATTTATTGCTTTGCAGGACTGATGGATTGTGATGACTTGGGGAAGCCTTCGATCAGCAGTGGATAGATCATAGCCGATGACAACACTAATCAAATATAATCGCTAATTATGCTCAGTAATTATATTGTAAACGTACAAATCTATTTGTAAATCGATTAATCAAGCAGCAGTTACATTCCTACCAGACACATTGACAGATAACCAATGCCGTTACAACAAAAACACCGACATCGACCACGGAAAGAGCCGAACATCGCGACCGCGGTGGCGTGGGCATCGCCGATTCACGTGGGCGATGGCGGTGGCAGTGCGGCGGTGCACCTGTGCCTGCAGGTAGCCGAGCAGGGGCTCCAGAGTGACAACCTTCTTGCGGTACTGCATGGCGTTGAGGGTGGCGCAGTATTGCAGGCTCGTCTGGTGCTGCTTGCGTCGGAAGGCATACACCTCCTCGGTGGCGTCGTGCCTCGCCTGTGCGTGACAATGAAACACACCCATGTGTGCGAGCGAGTGATTGTGTACCAGAGTGTGCCTGTGTGCTGGTGTACCAGTGCGTGTGTGTGCGAAAGATCTGGGCAAAGTCCCAACGGTGAGCTCCTCCGGCAGGCAAGGCTGCGTTGGCTGGGCCATGTAGCCCGCATGCCCAGCCACCGCATGCCTAAACAGCTTTTGTTCGGCCGGATAGAAGGGGCTAAACGGGTGCAGCACGGGCTAGAGAAGAGATGGAGTGATGTGGTACAGGAGGACGTGGAGCTGAGTGGACTTGCCAATGCAGGTAACCAGCGGTGTCAAGATCGGCCTCAGTGGAGGAGGCTCGTGAAGGACGCTACTGGGCAGTTGGAGGCAGTCGCCCTCCAACAACAACGGAGGGCGGAGGAGCGACGCTCACAACAACGAGCGGAGCACCGGGTGGCTAAAGCACAGCAGATTGGCACAGTAGGGAGCACAGGTGGTGCATCAGCCAGTCCTCTTAGTCAATCGACCCGTGGCACCTGGGTCTGCCCCGTGACCTCCTGCCAGCGGGCTTTCGACACTTCACGTGGACTCAAGGTGCACATGGCCTGGCACAAGCGTCGTGGTGACGTCACCGCCACTTAGTGGCGAATGGCGGTTGTTGTTGTTGTTGTGTGGAGTGGTAGTGAAGCGGCGAGTGTGCTGCGCATCAAACCTCAGTTCAATTCCTGCTCACGGCCAAAACCAGTGAAGATTATCTGAATCGATCCTGGGCCTCCCCTAGGTTGGCTGAGCCTCAAGTGAGAGACAAAGGGTGTCGTTCTGGCCACCCACCTCCTCGTGTGCCGTGTTGGCCTTTATGAGTGCTCGCTAACAGCACCTGCCCCAACACTCTGCTAAGGCGATAGGGGGGGATCTTTGTCTTTTGTGTACCAGTGTCTGCGTCTGTACCAGTGTGTGCGTGTGTACCAGTGTCTTTGGTTGTCATTGTGCCACCCACCTTCTCGCTCTCGCGCCGCTTGGAGAGGCGGCTGTACTTTGTCACGGCAGTTTCGTGCTCTGAAAAAATCAAGTTAGGGGCCAACATTTGAAAGTCAGAATAACAGACGCACACAATTAAAAATGCATTATGATCATTATCATCATCATGAAAAGGCATGATTAATCCACTGCTAAATGAATGCCTCCCAATGCCATCACCATCTCTCACAATCCACTGAGCACCAGCGCACAAGCTGATTTAATCGCTCCATCTCCACGGCACACCTACGTTCGGACATGTTCTCTGCCTTGGTCATCGATTAGGCATTGCACTTAATCTATTTCTGATCATGTTTTGTATTTATTTTTACGAGTGCAGACATTTTCGATGAACATCTTGAATTGCAAGGGTTTTCTTGTGCACTGAGTAAATGTGCGTGGTAAGATAGTAATTACTAAGGTCAAACTAAGCGTGCAGTGCCAGTGTGTGGGTGTGCATCTATGTGGCTTTGACTAAACCACCTACAATGCACATGTCATAAGCACTCAGACGCTATACAGGTTCGAGCCTAGATAAATTATGCTTGAATTGGTGACCGCCATGCATAACAGGTGTTATAGGCTGTGGAGTTAAATGGTGGGCAGCGCAAAAAATCCATTGCTGTACTGTACTTCTATACTCCCACACATCTATCCTCTCCACCTCCACGAAAACGCATTGACCAGCATGTGAAATATGGTCAAGTAACTTCCGTGCCATGGGAAGGCCCTGATCCAGCAGTGGATGGACAAACGGGTGCATGTACATATACGTACATATGTGCGGATATTATATGTTCAACACCTTATGCACAGGACGTCTCTCTGTCTATAGTGACATTTACCACTGGTGGAAATCTGCATCATCTGCTTGAGGCTGAGGAGTTCTGTAACACACAACACAGAAAAGACGCAAACACAAAAATAAACATTGCATTAAGACATGATTGTTCTAGAGGTCATACACATTTTTTTATTGCACATTCGTGTATGTGTGTGAGACAAAGGTGGCCGGGTGTGGTGCTGGCCACCCACCCCTTCGTGTGCCGTGCCGGCCTTCATAGTTGCTCGTGAACAGCACTTGCCCCAACAGTCTGTTAAGGCTATACAGGTGATTTTTGTCTTTGTTTTTTGTGTTTTAATTCAAAATCGTTACTTCTTACCCGCAAGATTCTTGTCCCTGAACTGCTTCATGGGAAATATCATGGCGTCGGCCATCTGTGTGGTGAGCACGGCATGCTGGGAGCTCAGCTGTGGGGCAACAAGGATCAAAAGATCGTAAGGAAAGAGCGAGAGAGAGAAAAAAAGAGGAAGATGAGGTGGCAAGATTAAGCGATCCTATGCGTATACGTTGTGAAAGCATTCTTAATACTCAACTGCATGCTCAGAAATGACAAATGCATGTGAAAAGAACACGTCTTTTCCCTCGGTTATACCCCGATTGTGTTCATCAAATACGAATAATTCTTTCGGAACTCTCGCAGACCAGTGTTCAGGAACATGCCATGGAAGGAGATATGACACTTCAAGTGACCTCTGGATAAGAGAGGAGGCAACACTTTCTCATGTGCTCTGCCGCCGAGGCTAATATTCATCGCATGATGACAGTCAAACCAAACTTTTAAATTCTCTGATATAGAATCGAGCCAAATACATTTCATAAATGTTTTTTTTTGCACAGTGCAGCTATTGGTAACCAGGCTGGAATCATCAACTCGCTACACTGAGAACCTTGTTTCCATCACAGGCGGCATTCTGGATTAAAACCTAGGATCTAAGCAGTGTCAACTCAGTGCCCTAACTTCTGAGCCACCCGGCCACCTAAATGAGATGCACGTTAAGTTTTCTCTGCATTAAAATAAGTAGGAACGATGATAGATCATCAGCAATGCAGGTGCTGCAATGCTAAAGCTTGAGACTGCAACAACCAACCTCATCGATGACCTTGGCAAACTGCTGCAGGGTCGACGTCATGACCTCATCATCGCCAGCCAATGGGAAACGCTGTGAACAAAAAACAAGAAAACGAAATGGATTAAGACAGCGAATGGATCTAACCAACTATAAACATCAAGGATGGGCACATGTTGTGCACCACAGAAATGAGGATGATGAGGTGGATCTCGGATCACAATAATTGATCGGGTCAGAAATTAAGAGACGAGGATAAGCCAAAAGAAAGTCGATTCTGATGGCTAGGACATGTCCTAAGAAAAGAAGAAACCACATTGAAAAGGAAGGTAATGAACATGGAAGCCCCAGCGTGGAGACTGAGAAGCAGGAACAGAAAGAGGGGTCTTAAAGTGGTGCACCAGGATATGAAGGACTGTGGAGTAGATGTGGAGATGATGCCCTCCCCCTGACAGGAATGAGTGGAGAAAGAGGACCAGGAAGGTAGCCAGACCTCACATCAGTGGAAGAAGATGGGAACCAACAAATCACATGGAGAAAGCAAATGATTTCCCAAACGTCTTGAAATTTGACAAGGCTGCAAGACGAGACGTATGTGCACCAATGCATTGTGTGTCAAAAAATAAATTCGTCACCTGTTTGCCATAGTCAAGCAACTGCTGCGAGAGCATTTGTGTCGCCAGAGAGAGCTCATTCTGCAACGACAACACATGCGGCAGAGGATCACATCGCGGTGCGAGTGCACGGGGCGGAACTGCAGCCTTTCGGAATGACAGGACTTGATTTGCACATGTTTGTCAAGTGTGACCAACTCTAATACTAATTAGCTGGATATATATATTCTTTGGGTCTTTCGGTAAAGTCACGTAGATAGGTTTAAAGAAAATAACAAAAAACTACGACGTTTCGATTTTTCTTCCTTCCTCCTGATGACGATCCCTTGTGTTTAGGCCTCGGCAAGGTAAGGTAAAAGGTAAAAACAACGAGCCTACCTTTACCCTACCTTTTACTTTACCACAATACAATCACTCTACCCTACCTTTTACCCTTCAGCAGGTAAGGTAAAAGGTTAAAAGCAACGAGCCTACCTTTACCCTACCTTTTACCCTTACCCCATACAGATTACAGGGTAATTACTGGGGTACTACACATGAAAAAGGTTTATAACAGGTAAATGCTAGGTAGAGTGCTTTATTCATATAGAATACTCTCAATTATTCCAATTTTACACGCTTTCTTTAAACTCACTCTGTTGTTGTCGTTGTTGAATCCTCAAATCTTGTAACTCAATTTTAACCCACTTCCCAATGTGGTTTCGACTGCGAACTTGGTATACTTATGTCTTACTGATGACAATACTATGTTCTATCATCAAAAATAAAATAAAAATATTTGTAAACATTATTTTTTATGTTACGTTTCGGCTTGGGTCGAATTGTCCACTGTAAACTGACGTTGGCTGTTATTGCCCACGGTCCCTTACGTTGTGGCAAGCTTCAGGGCCACTTCCTGGAGTCGTGGAGTTCTGCCATTACTCGTAGATTTCATAACAGCGTGTTTTTAAAAAAACGTTTCTTTTTTAATATTACTTATTAAATGGAGGCCACGGACTGCGCCACGGAGCTTTTAGCGGTAAACTCAAGGCACCATATTTACCGGGTTAATACTTCGCGCTACCTTTACCCTATCGGGTAATTCTTCCGAGCTACCTTTACCCTACCCTTTACCTTACCCCTTGGCATGTCGACACCTTTACCTTTACCCTTTTACCCGGTAAAAAAGGTAAATTACCTTACCTTGCCGAGGCCTACTTGTGTTGTGATCGGAACGTCGTAGTTTTTGGTTATTTTCTTTCAACCTATCTACGTGACTTTACCGAAAGACCAAAAAAATATGAATTCCAGCAGTCACGAAAGCTTTAAGTCAAGATTTAACTGGATGCACATATATTTATACATGTTATAGGCTGTGGGGTAAAGTGGCGGGCATCTGTACAGCCGTTTGATTCAATCCACTGATGAATGAAGGCCTCCCCACACTGTGTGAGCTGTAGGGGCTATTTGACCATATTTCACCACACTGGACAGTGCAGGTTGGTGAAGGCGGGGAGCAGAGATGTGGGAGCAAAGCAACACAGTAAAACTTTGGATTTTGCTGGAATGATCTCTCCTGTCAACCACATTTCCCAACAGCCTATGAAATGTTTGTGCGTCGTAGTCACCCATCCAAACACTATGACATCTAAATGCTGCTTAGCTTTCAAGATCCGACAAGATCGGGTGCATTCCGGATGACCTGGATTTGGGAAAGTTCAGGATAAATGCATCGAACTGTGCAAGTAATATAATACTGCTGAGACCAATATTACGCTGCTAAAACGCTGGGTTAAAATCCAGGCAGTTGGACAAGATTAAACCTGGTTCACCGTTGTAATGAGTTGAGAGGTGGCTGGGCTGCTCAGGGGTCAGTGCTGAGCCGGCACCGCTGAAATCCCAAGTATATTACAAACGCATGCGGATGCAGGATGTGTGCGCTGATGCTGGACAACGACGGGCAGCACCTGTGCCTGGTGGACCCTCTGCATGGCGCCCGAGAGGCGGTTGGCGAACTCCGCAAACATCACGGCGTCCTCCTCGAACACGCTCATCAGCGAGCGAGTCTGTTGGGGGTGTGCAGTGGAAGGGACAAGTGAGAGGAGGCAGTCATGTTCCAGTGTGTGGCTGAATTGTACGCGATGCAAAAACAATCAGCATTTCTGGAAGAATTGCATTGAGGTCCTCCTGTCTGGGATGACCAATATCAGACAATGCTGATGGTTTTTTTGCACAACACACACAGAGTGCTTTTTACATGTTTCAAGCGAGTTGTTTTGAAACGCATCGTTTTCTGGCTTGCACTATTTTTCTGTTGTGAAGAGTTTTTCTTGTCACTTAAGGATGATTTTGGCTGAAAGAATAAAATATAAGTAGAGCTGGGACAATTAGTCAATAAATACACACAAATTAGAATCAACTGCTTTGTGTCCTATTTATCAGAATATTTATTTATGTTGGAGGAATCCGATGAGCTATGCAGCTCTTTTACAAAGATGTCCAGATTTTAAAATGTTGGCCACCCTCTCACCCTGCCTCTTCAAGGCGGGAAACCCCTACAAGCCAAGTCCGGCAGTGAAGCCAATGATGATACCACCGATGTCACCAGGTTCCCCCCATCACCTCCCGTCTGGTGGTACACATGGGAAAAAAGGTGAGATGTTTTTGTTTCTGTTATCCGATTTAGTCGAGTAATTGATCTGATCATTGTTAGAGTTCAGGGATTCCTTAAATAATCAGATAACCCAGCTCTATTTACAAGGCTATGTTCAGATTCGTTCATCTGAGCTCAAGATAATTTTGAACGTGAACTAATGCCATAAAACTTACTCAATTGCAATAGCGGAGACAGTGGAGTGTGGGAAAAGATTTAGCGCATCAATGGGTGCTCGAGAAGGGAGTTTAGTGACTTTCTTTTTGCACCAAAACATTTATTATCATTGTGTGAAAAGTTGCTTACATCAATAATAATAATAAATAACCCTCTGTTAAGCCACTGCTGGATGAAGGCCTCCCCAAAATGTTACCGGTTGTGGGACTTGTTTGACTATAGTTCACTATGCTGGTCAGTGTGGGCTGATACAGGGAAGGGCCCAGGACTAGTTCAGATATATACTGTCACCGATGTTAGCCATGGCAGCCAATTGAATTTCGTTTGCTAATAACAACGTCCATAACTCAATCTGGAAAGTTGTACAGAACATTTAGATAAACCAACAACAACACAGTTGCAAATGCTGCATGTCATCATAACATTGCAGCAGGTTTTTTTCGATGTATGAGCTCTGCTATGTTAATACATCCGCACACTCCGATATCTCCCAGTTCCCTGCAGATCAGTGTGGTTCCAGCGCAGAAGAAACGGTTATGTGTGCGCTATGCAGTCAAGGGCACACTGCTGTGGCATTGGGCAAGGAGGTGGACGTTAACTCAAGGGACCACAGATTTCCGTTTGATGTTTGTTTCCATGGCCAGTTCGTGTCAACAACCTCGGAGAAATGCAACAGCCCCCCCCAAAACCCCAGTCGCACTATTAGCACAACACACATACGATCCACTGCTGGATGATGACCTACCCATGCCGTACAGGTCAAAAAACAACCTGCATGGTGATAACCCATCCAGGAACTGTCCACACTCAAACGTGCTGAGCTTCTGAGATTTAAGTGATTTAGTCGGAGGCAATAACCTCAGCAGAACACAATACTTGGCTGCACAAGCTACGCTCACACTGGTGTTAGTGCAACACCGAGTGCCGAGAGCAAATTCGAAATCCTTTCATCTAACCAGACAAGAGAGCAGATTGAAAAAAACCCCTCTTGAAGTAGAGATTATGGCGAAAATGCACATTTAACACCAGACCCAGTCTGTGTGTGGTGAGTGTTACAGCAAACTTTAATGACATTAAAGATATTCGTTTTTAAAACCCTACATGCCATAAAAAGTCCCTTTTATGGATGACTGAACCCACGTAAAAAGGCAATCTCATATGCCCCAGGGCTTACATAAGCTCACCTTGTAGGCAGAGTAAGTGTTGTGTCCGAAACAGAGGCAGCTCAAGTTTAAATCCATTCATTTTGATGTACGGCTGGGTTAAATTGTGCTTTACAATGACCAACTGAAGGTCATTCCAAAAGTCACACCCTTATAGTCCTTGTCAATTAACTGGTGCATTAAGGCTTCCTCCTCTGCTGAGTAGAGTTTGTTTGACCACACTCCACCATGCTCGTCAATGTGGATTAGTAAAGTGGGGGGGGGGAACAGAACCTGTTCAGATATCACTTGCGAATAGCGTTAGCTGTGGCCAAACATCAAACTCAGGTTTATAGCGAAGTGCGCAAACACTGCGCCACCACTTCACTCCATGTATAAATAATGATTATAAAAGTAAAAACTCCCACAAATCACACTCTACCTCGAAGCAGGAAGGCTTGCCATCTGCACTCTGCCACCAGGCGAAAAAACTATTTATAGTTATCTGAATACCACATCCCCAGCTAAGAAAACACACTTTTATTACAGCCTCTATAACAGTGTTGGCGGCGTGGGGGAAAGCCAGAATGTTGCCGCGCAAGTCATCACGGTTGTGAATCGTTGCCCTTCGATGTGTTCTTAGGCTTTACTCCACGTTGTACCAGGGGTTTACTCCACGCTGTACGGCATGCCATTGGACATTTCTCTCCAACGTGCCAGGTGCTTCTCCAGGAACCGAATTCATTGTGCTGAACAAACACGCAGTACTGTACAACCCGAAAGCACAATGGAGAGGAGCTACAGAGCCATGAATCGTCACTGCACCAGCTTTGCACAGCTATCCCTTTCGGCAATAAAAACAACTAACAGCCTCTTGAGGCACGTGTCCTGCAAAGACATGCAAACCTGACAGGTCGCACGAGCCACAATTGGCCATCCGGGTGCAACCCACACCTGGTTGGCTCAAAATCACACGTCGGCGGGGGAATAAACGGCCTTCACTCATTGACAGGACACACTGCACTGGGTTGTATAACGCACGCAAGTGTCTACAGTTTTACACGACTCTGTTACCCCACGTGGCCACGGGATCGTCACGTGTCAGCGCAGCAATCAATCAAGCAAGCTTTATTTTAAGTGCCAGTATCGCCCTCGATAAAGTAGGCATCAGTGCACATTACAAGGGAACGGGGTCAGGTACAGGGGGCATAACAGCAACAGGAATTAAGAAACCCGTCCCGACCTCAGCGGCCAATACTGACTGAGCAAAGTGCAAATTGCAAACGTGCGCAAAAAAGTGCAATTGGGGCCAACGAATAGCATAAGAAAGGTAAGGTGGTAAAATACAAATAAATAATAATGAGTAAAGAAACAGTTTTTATTTGAAATGTCACATTTTGAATGGGAAGGCACGTCTGAATAGATGCGTCTTGCACAGCCCACGGACTTGAGACAAGGCTCACGGAATTGAGAGACACTCAGAACTTGAACGAGGGCCAGGTTATCGATAACCCTGCAAATTGCCACTGCACCTCCTGTGTCCGCATTGGAATGAACCCAATAGCCACCCGCCAGCCAATCGCTCATCCAGATTGCAGGATAAAATTACTGTATTCATAATAATGAATACAAACGCGTTGCGTTATTGCGGAGGATTAGGGGTAAGAACGTGACAAGTCTGATGTTCATTCTGCATCTCCACATTCAAACTAAACGTTGTCCATTGTTTTTCCAGAACAATATTATCCAGCAGCATCTGTTCAAGTGAGCACACTGGTCCAGTGTTTTCTGGACCAGTGTGCTTGCTTGAACACGTCTCTAATGTACTGTACATGTAGATGTGTACACGCGGCACAAGTACTGTGCATTTGTACATGTACACAGTACATTAGAGACGTTCGCACGAATGTCTGATTAATCCGAATCAGGTCGATACATCAAATTTCGGGCCGATCTGAGAAAACCGGGATTGATATTGCCAACATCACGTCACTTCTGATCGTTTCCCGGCATCGGTTGTCGTGACTACTGTTGTTGGCACGAAGGCATTAAACGTGGGTACATAATGGAAACGATTAGAAAGATATCTCAAATTATTATTTCAAGATACATATTTTTTAATCCTCAACTCATTCCAAATGTACAAGGCGATCGGTTGTGAACACTCGAGTGGCTCACTGTTTTTCCCTTTAACATGTGCCGCTTTAAATACCAAAGCCAATGTGCATTTTTTTTCCACTTGCAGTGAGTGGTTTGTCTCACGAGCCACTGGCTTCAAGTTCACAACCTTTTTTGCGAACCCTCAACAATCTGACCCCCCCCCCCCAACCTGAGTTTACTGGCACACCAAGCCACAGGAGGGCAATATACAAGTACACATGTTACTGCCCATTAAAACAACAAAATCAATAACTCACTCAGCCACTGCATAACGCTGACCGACGTAAATAGCACGCTGGCGATACATTCAAGAACAATTCGCTCACATCGACTCGCACATGTATGGTGGGGGGCATTTAAAAATGGTCACGTCAAAACGAATTTTGACTTGACCGTCGTAAGAAACGGGACACAAGCAACAAAAGTGGCTATATTATTATTATTCAGCCATTTATATTATGCCTGTCAAAAAAAGTCGAGAGAAACGTAACAGGAGGCGTGCAAACACGTTGCACAGCATTTACAGATGCGTCTGTGACCAAATCACCCACAGCTTGGATGCAAAGCCGAGTTGAGCCTGGATAGATAGCCCTCAATGAATGGGTGGACCACCATGCATAACCGGGTGTAACAGGCTGTTCTGTGAGATACGTGGTGAGCAGCCGAGGATAGCGAAGCAGAATACATTAATGCACTGCATTTCAAAGCTCCCACGTCTTCACAAACCCGCACTGACCAGCGTGGTGAAGTATGGCCACAATAGCCCCCACTAATCACAAGACGCAGAAAGGGCCGTCGTCCAGAAGTATGTTTATAAAAGGAGCTGCAATGAACATATATATGTATGTTCGCTCAAAGAGTATACACCCAGAGATCTTTAATATATCACTGTATTGTATTTAAAACAAATTATTGGATTGTTATTCTTGTATTGCCATGCGGCAGTTTGGTCCAAAGGGGTAGTTGCCTGCCTCCAGGGGGCTTTCTGCTACCACTGAGGGACCAAAAATAAGTTCAGTAATGGCCAATCCACATTCCCATGGAAAGGACAAGTCTATCCATAGGATTACCTCCAGGCCTGGGGGGGGGCAATAATATACGTAATAGTGTCATTGTAAATAATTGCAATCGGAACGTATTTGTCATTGTAATTTCAGCCAACAAAGTTGCGTCTAATTTTATTCATAACTGGCCCCGCGGTCTAATTACCACGGTTGAATATCCACAAATTGGTTACAGTACTTATTGTATCGACCCACGGAGATACGACTAACGATGATGACAATAAGCCCATGATGACGATCGGCTGAGTGGAATCCAGACCTTGACTTTTAACTCAACAAAGTGGCCCGGAGGCTCTGAGAGTTTGTCTCGCGGTCATCCATTCAGCGGTCGAAACTAATCGAGTACAACTCTGTAAGTTCCCCAGGTCCAATAGCAGCGGTGTCACGGACGTACCAGTCCACGGCATGGGAATGTGCAATGTCCACGCGTACCTGTGGGCTGTCGTCCAGCGCGTCCTCCAGGGGTAGCTTGTCCATGCCTGGCATGTCGTTGGGGGACACGGCGAGACACGGAGAGACACAGGGGGACGACTATGGGCAGAGGGATTCGAAAGTGATGAGATAGAACAGATAGGGAGACACGGTCTGGTGATTGAGACAGGACTAAGGGGTTCACAGGAGACACACTCAAGACAGACACGGAGACAGCAAGACAAGGCGAAACGAGGGAGACGGAGAGACAAGCGCTGAGGGGGACAAGAGACGAGAGCAAAAGGTAAACACAGGGGAGAGGAGACGGGGAGAAAGATTGCGAAGACAAGAACACAAGCGTAACGCGAGAGAGACAATGGGAGTTGGGGGAGACAAGGCAGCGGACACAGGAGTTGATGTGGACACGGGGAGACAGCGGACACAGGAGCTGATGGAGCCACAGGGAGACAGCGGACACAGGAGCTGATGGAGACACAGGGAGACAGCGGACACAGGGAGACAGCGGACACAGGAGCTGATGGAGACACAGGGAAACAGCGGACACAGGAGCTGATGGAGACACAGGGAGACAGCGGACACAGGAGCTGATGGAGACACAGGGAGACAGCGGACACAGGAGCTGATGGAGACACAGGGAAACAGCGGACACAGGAGCTGATGGAGACACAGGGAGACAGCGGACACAGGAGCTGATGGAGACAGCGGACACAGGAACTGATGGAGACACAGGGAGACAGCGGACACAGGAGACACAGGGAGACAGCGGACACAGGAGCTGATAGAGACACGGGGAGACAGCGGACACAGGAGCTGATGGAGACAAGGTAGAGAGACAGCGGACACAGGAGCTGATGGAGACAAGGTAGAGAGACAGCGGACACAGGAGCTGATGGAGACAAGGTAGAGAGACAGCGGACACAGGAGCTGATGTGGACACGGGGAGACAGGGCGTCTACTTCATCAGGCCCCACGCCTCACATTCCGCACTGCGTTCCGGCGTTGGGACGCGGGTCACGTGGGCCCGCGCCGCGCTTATCCAGCGTAGGGATTTAGAGGCTGTCTCTCCCCGCCACCATTGCGCATGCGCAGGTGTCATCATCATCGGGCTGAGTTAGTGGTAGCTCAACCCAGACAGCTTGGGTGTTTTTGAAACGTAATTTTCCTAAGCACGGCTGTTGAGTACAGTCCCCCCCTAAAAAAGCCTCGTTGTTGTAACGTTCTTACGCAACTGGACACCTGTGAAAAAGAGCTTTATAGCTCATCGGATTCCTCCTGATTGCTATAAACGTTAAAGTTGGCACGTGGACAGCAGCATCCTCAATACATAATGCAATGGCAATAATTGGAAATATGTTCGGTGCTATAACTTGACAAATTTATTTGGTGCTGCTGCTGTGTTGGTAATGGTGCACAATCACAACTCACAAAAAAATAACTCAACAAAATGTGTCACCTCCGATCAGCAAAGTTGGCTACGTACGGTGCAATAGGTCAACTTAAATAATACAATAACATTGGCCTTAAAGTATAAAAATCTGGAATGTGACGTTTCGCCTGGAACGTTGCATCATACATTTGTATTGTTATTTATTCGTCATAACTCCGAGACATTGTTGGTGAATGTGTTGTCAATTGTGTACAACTGCCAATGCAGCAACAGCAGCAGCACCACTTTCTTTTAAATTCATTTATATTGGTTAATGTTATGCTACGGTTTGGTTATATTTTCAGGCGATCAGCTGACAGCGCTGGGTAGCGGTGGCGTGTGAGCAGACACCCTGATATCCAATGCTTTACTGTAGCGGGCTCAGAATGAATGAGCTGGCAAGCCTTGCTGGTCGGTGGTGGTGACATGTGGGCAATAACCGCATAGGCGAAATGGGCAATGTCACATTGGTACAGCATTACAATTCTTGTCGTAGCTGGATAGATCGGAATGTTCATGCCATCATGTTGCAATTAAACCAAGGTATGCAACGCTCATCGATGCATTATCTGGAATTGGTGTCGTTTTTTAAAAAAAATAATTGTTAATGCTTAGTAGTGTTATTTATTGTGGTCCGAATACCACCGCTGACATCCTGGATACCATACTTCCGTATTGTAGCTGGCAGGCGTGGTGATACTGTCAAACCTCGGAATGGTGTGCTCAATGCAATTTATCAAACATTCGGTTGTAATTGGTGGAAAACGGATTTTTTAAAATGTACAGTAGCTAAATACTGCTCTATACATGCAAAATTCTCCATCGAAAACCTACCGAGGCAGGGATGGAACGCTGGCACAAAGATGAACACCGCACTATGAACCTGGAGACTCGAGTCCGATTCCTTGCAATGAATGCCTCCAACGCCCTATTCTCTCCAAGCCGCACTAACAATTAGTCGAACATGTCCATTGCAGGCAGAGCGTGACGACTTAATCCAACAGCAGGTTGATACAAGCCTGTGACTTTAAAAAAATACCTGAAGCACAACTATTGCTTTCAGTATTCTGACCGAATACTGAAAACAAATGAATTAAATACTTCATTGCTCCAGAGTGTAAGCTTTATTGCATCTGATACAGATACAGCAGTAAGTTTACAACATTGGACAACAAAAACATGATAAAAATGCCCGTTGAGAATCCACCAACATAAGTCGACGAAGAAATATGTACAAATAGTGTGGAGCATCACTCCACTAAAGTTAACTCCAAGAAAACGACAGCACTCTTGAATAAACAGCGCTGCCATTTTATGGGTTAGGGGCCCAGACCCTATGTCAGGTGGGCGGCATAAGGGAGCAGAGTTGTGGGGAATATGTTCAGGTCAGAGGTGATGCCGTCCCATGTCACAAGAAGTTGTCGCTGAGCGGACAGGGCACAGTTTTTAATCCCTGGCTCAAATTACAGAGACTCGTTAATGTAAAATGAGTGTCACTTGTGAAATAGGTTTTCATCTGTGAATAAAAACACATTATTTCTACTATAAACGTTACGGTTGTTCAAAACGCCACGCGCAGACAGGATGAGTAGCAAACTTATCACGATTAGCAGGTACACAAAGAAAATGAATGGAAATAGAGAGAGGAAAGTCATAGATTTGTTGGACATCATGAGAAGAGACCTAATATAAATGTGAAATTTATAGGTACCACAAAAAGCCATGGAAGACTGGGAGTAACTAATTCAATGTTCCTCTTTGGTTCTTTCGGTAAAGTCACGTAGAAATAAATGTAATTAAATAATGTAAGAAAATGACGTTTCGATTGCAACACAAGCAACCATCATCAGGTACAAATGAATGAGAAAACATAGTAAACTTGGAAATATAATGCAATACAACACAGAGAGTCGGCCAACAAAACAGTCAACACCCCACCTGATTACCTTCTTCCAAAGAAATGTTTTATTTTATTTCTAACGTGACTTTACCGAAAGAACCAGAGTAATTCCTGCAGTCACGAAAGCTTCGAATCTAGTTTAATTCAATGTTCTTGAGTAATATCATGGACAGAACTAAATGTAAGGCCATGATTGGTGACATCTTTGAAAAAGGGCATGGCACATAAACAGTTGCTCTGTGCAAGTTAGATGCAAGAAGTATTGTGATGTCACTTGACATGCAAGGCATAATAGGAAGACCCATCTTATGGTCACAATCACACCTTTTCCAGTTTATAATTCATCAACTGCATGGAGAATCCCTCGTGTCGACACATTGACTGTCCAGATATTGCCATGTCATTTAAGCGACGGTTCTCTTCTCTTCCATCGCACATTTCATGGCAGTCACACGCGGCCGTCCAGGTCGTAGGTGGAGATGAGTTCGCACACGATCTCGTTCAGGACCTCATAGGAAAGGTCTTCTTCGCACAGCGCCTGTCCACAGACAAGCGTTCAGAGCAAAATGATGCAAAGTCACCCGGTGCACTGCCTGATACTGATGTTCTTACATTATCATTCTCCTGCGCTAATGTAGTGTGCGGTGGGGGGGGGGGGGCTATGTGGTAGCCAGCGGACAGCAGGGCAGCAAAGTCCATTATTGTACTGTACTATGCACTTGCATCTATGGTCTCCGCTTTCACCAACCAACGCATGAGAGCCAAACGTGGGAACAAGCTCAAGAGGACGTCCACCACGGAGATGAATGGATTACATTCGCTTGACGGATTGCTACGAGACGGATCGCTGCATCTCAAGACCATGGAAGACAGCGGCGGTTTGGGGAGGCGTTTATACAGCCAGTGGCCAGATCATGGATGATTACGGTAAAAGTGAAAAAATGCAATGGGTGCAGCCGCCTTGCAATTGCAACTGCTTGCTCGCACCACTACTGGCGGGAATGGGGATGCCACACGAGGGAGAACTTTAAAGCCCAGCTACGCCAACTCGTCCGTCCATGCTGGCCAGATGTCATGGAAGAAAGAGGTGGGCCGTACCTACACTTTACCCCAACACACGTCACAACATGATGATGCAGTGGTATCATAATGCAAATTGGATACAATGTGATGAATGTATTAGAGATTTTTTTTTTTTATAACCCGGATGTGAATCGGATATAACGCGATTGGGTGAACAGGGCTAAGTCGTGTGAGAAGGAATAAGCGGTTGCACCGCTGCCTTGGCATAGCATCATACAAGGCGGGATGCTGCTGGATCCTTCTAGATGCTACCCACACGCCTGCGTACGCATCTCACGCGTTATCGTGGCTGTGCTTTTCCCTATATTATACATTATTTATTCCAACCCGATTTTTCCATAATGCGGTGTTCTTCAGGAACACAACTACCGCATTACAGGATAACAGACTGTGTGTAGAACTTCTTTCGCACCGTACGTAACCAACCGTGCTAATCGGGAGGTACAAACCTGCCACCAGGAGGTGCGCGCTTCGCGGTTGCCCGGAACCTCGGTTCCACGGCACTCAAGCGCCAGGTAGAGGGCAGCGGCGGCGACGTGCTGCGCACGATGCCGCAGGATGGCCCCGCCGCGAAGGTAGCTGTCGCTCAGCAGGGCCCAGGCCGTCTCGGCAAGGGGGCCCGCCCGCTCCCACGCCCACGTGCCCATCCAGTTGCGCAGCGATGTCAGGTAGTACAGCAAGTACTGCGGTGGGAAGTTGCGAAAACTTGCTCTATTCGTACTGGTGTGGGGTGGTGCGTATACATCTACCAAACGTCCCTGGTTGTTTGACAGGGATGTTTACCAGTTCCGAAAGGTTGTCCTGGTATCCCACCAAAGCATTTTCGATTTTTTTATTTTTTGGGTTAAATGAGTAGTGGGCATGGTTTAAAGAGTGGGTGGGCCATATGAGCAGTATGCTGGACATTCGCTGTGGTGCTCATGGAGGGAGGGGCTATCATCTCACCATGTGTCCTGCCTGGTTGAGCATCCTAGAAATGTGATAGCTTTCACAATGCACTGGATTTGTCACTAGAAGGTAAGATGGCTGTGGTAGACATCCTTAGACCCAAGAACACATCCGCCACGGAGATGAAGCGATAAAACAAGCTCACGTGCGGGAGATAGTGTTATTGTTATATCGTAAGACCCAATAGATGGTGATGCATTTCTTGGGGACGCCTTCATTTATCATAGGATAGATCATGACTACAGTGAAGGTGACAATTTACCTTGTGCGGGTGTGTGAAGGAGATCTGAAATTTGAGCACTCGTAGGATGAGGAGCTCGCACTGCACCAGGCTGTCCCTCAGCTCCCAGAACTCCTTTGACAACTGCAGCAGCTCTTTGTCAGGGTTCAGATGCCTGTCAGTGCAAAGACACATGTATATATTCAGCACCAACCAATCAGCAATAATGGAAAATGTAACAACAAATACAGTCAGATTTTTCACTAATTAAAAGCAACAGATTGAAATGCAGAGGTGTAAATATATTCAAATTGATGTCACCACTTTACATAATCCACGAACTAGCATAGTAATGTTTTGATTTAAAGCTTTTGTGACTGCAGGGATTCATATTCTTGGTTCTTTTGGTAAAGTCACGTAGAAGGGAAACAATAAAATAATACAAATATAAAACAATTAAATTCTCACGACGTTTCGACTGCAACACAAGCAATCATCATCAGGTGTGAAAACCACAGCAAGAAAATTTGAAAAAAGTGGCGGTTTTTTTCTTAACTTTAGCACCACGGAGAGCGATTTGGCAGTTACTCAGATGGACGAGTCCATCTATGTTCGGAAAAGAGGAGGGGGGAGACGGAAATAATGGATGCGGTCTGAAAGCCACCGCAAGCGTGAACAATCAATTAAGATCCGAAATGGTTTATCAAATCCTTCCAATGATTGCTAAGCCGGAATCCATCTTCTCGGTTGAAATTGTCTGTGTTTGTATATGTGGATAGCCTCATGAACGAATCTCTCATGATAGCCAGATGGCTTGCAGAGAACCTGTCTTGGAGAAGTCAATGTCATGTGAGCCTACTGAATTATAAGTGATCTGCCACGGCCGAGGTGTTGGTCCTACCGTGTTTTAGGTCTGCTTTGTGTTCACGGATGCGGTCCGAGATATGTAGTTTGGTTTCTCCAATGTAACTACGACCACAGAGGCAACTTAGTTTGTAGACGCCAGGGTACTGTATGTCCGGAATCACATCTTTTACAGACGGAACCAGATCACGGATTTTATGTAATGTGTTGAATCGGACCTGGCTCTTGTGTTTATTCAAGATTTTAGAGATCTTTTTTGTGATCCTTGCAATGTAGGGTAAAGTGATGGTTTTGAATGGCTCCTCAAGAGGGTCCTTCTTCATCGTTGGAGTGATAGCTTTGCGGATTGTGTAGTCGGAGTAATCATTAGCCTTAAGAGCTTGGTGTACGTGCTTGAGTTCACTGGCTATGTGTTCCTGGTCGGATATGCATTGGGCTCTATGGTGCAGAGTCTTGATGAGGGAATTCTTCTGGGATGGATGGTGGTGGGAATCCGGTTTCAGGTAAGCATCCGTATGGGTAGCTTTCCTATAGACAGAGTGGCTCATTGAACCATCAGGTCTCTTTTTTATTAGGACGTCCAAAAAAGGTAGCATGCATTGGAAGTGTGGGGTAAGGTTAGAAAGCAAAGGGCCAGCAAATTGTCCGAAATCACAACATTAAACAATTTATTTGGCGACGCTGCATTGGCGGCAGTGCACAAGCAAAATTAACAACAAAAAACATTAATCAATAAAACTGTGCCCTTAAAAGAAGAAACACATGACAGTCACATTTCAGGAAATGGCCCTTTGTCAACCTCCACTGACAAACAATATATGTTTTCAAATCACCAAAGACCCATTGAGAAAGACTCAGTGGAGCAGCTGGAAGGCTGACCGTGCAATACGTTCAGCAGCTAAATGCCAATGTCGCGAGGTCTGCTAGCCACGACGAGAGGCCTTCAGGAGAGAGCTCGTGTAGTTTGGCTATTCCTCCGTTGAAGCAGCGCCGACTGCAGTACGGTGGTTTGCTATTAAGGTCCATAGTTTGTGTTGCACGGTCACAATTGCAACTACTGTGGCTTGCGCGTTTAACTTTGCATTCATGAAGACGCGCTGCAGCATCAGCCCGTTGTTATCGCGACGCGGCGGACGGTCAGACCAGTGTCTTCGAGGTGGAACGTCAAAGCCAGGAGGTGCGACTATGTACGCGTGTATGTGTGTTGAACGTCTTTCGCGCCGTGCGTAGCCAGCCGTGCTAATCGGAGGTGCGACTAAGTTGGCGCGATGGGGGCGCGAGAAGAACGAAATGAAGCTGGAAGGGCCGCTCTCGCCACCTGTGCACCACGTTGATGATGTCACGGAGGCGCACATGCTGCTCCTCAGCCTTGCCCGCCAGGTAGAGGCAGGAGGCGGCCACCAGGTGTGGGTCGTAGTCGTCCAGGCTGACCTCGGAGAAGAAGGCGTGGTACAGGGTGCACGCCGTGGCCAGGGGCACCGAGCGCATGCCCAGCTTCACGCCTGCGAGCAGAGCGGTCGGTCGCAGGGTCAGGGACAGCTGGGGGCAAAGTGCTCAATTGAAGCCGAGTGACCGACGAGGTAATGCACGACAAGTTCCGAGCCGAACGTACGTGCAGGGCACACGCTTCATCAACGCAGTTTGAAGTGAAACTGCCACACGGTCGCTGCGCCATTGCGGTGCCCTTTGCAGCCCTTGCAAAAAGAAGTCAAGTTTGTGAATCCCTGCCACCCATGTTGAGGACTCTACCAGACCGGCTGTTTTATAACATCCATCATAGTGTTCAACCACCACCGACACTACAGGTCAAAACAACAAACAAGGGCTATGTCTGCTTCTTGCCTAAAGGATTTCCCTCCGATCGTCTCCTTTCCCCAATCTCTTATAAACAGCCTTGGCGCAATTCAAATGGACAGTGTCAACACTTATTTATATTCTTGGTTCTTTCGGTAAAGTCAAGAATATGAATCACTGCAGTCACGAAAGCTTTAAATCAAAAGTTTCAACACTTATTTATTGCACCAACTAGGGTGCCATGTTGCTGCTGAAAGCTTGTTCTTCGTGGCATTTGGACTTGTGTTTCAGCAAAAGTGTATTAAACAAACAACAACAAAACTCGGCCCTATGGGCCCACCACCTGGCCACTTAAAAATGTCCCGCAAACAATGCAGTGAGGTACTGTACATGCATTTATCCGTCACTGTGAACATTTTAGCAGCACCCATCGGGCACTGCAGTGGGGGGGGGGAGGATGAGTGGAGGCATTTCAGACCTGGCAGCGCTGCTGTGCGTCCAATTGTTAGTGCGGTGAACCGCATCTGTCACTGGGAGGGGGCTTCTCTCGCGGTGACAGGCTCACCCACCCCCGATTAGCTTGCGTGTGTGTGTGGGTCCACCGCAGCCTATTGCGGTAGTGCTAGCGCTGTCCTCCAGACAGTCTCGTCCCTTCACCTGATGAAGGCCGCTTGTGTTGTGGCCGAAAACACGTGATAATTTTATTGCGTTATTTTATTTGATTAATTTATTATTTAATTCTCATTCTACGTGACTTTACCGAAAGAACCAAAGAAGATGAATCCTTGCAGTCACGAAAGCTTTAAATCGAAGGTTAGCAACTACACTGCGCTACGAAACCCCGGCGACACGAGTTCAATTCCCGCTCACGGCCAACACCAGCGATGGATTGTCTGAACCGGTCACGGGCCTCCACTAAGTCGACGCAGCCTCAAATGAGTACGTGTACCCGGTGTTTAAACCATCGTAACTGGGGAGACAAAGGCGGCCCGGCGTGGCTTTGATAGGCGCTACTCGCTAATAGCACTTGCCCTCGGACAGTCTGTTCAGGCTACACAGGACGGGGTGGGGGTGGGTCTTTGTCTCGCCAATACATTGGTGGGCCATGTCCGCTCGAGTACAATACAGCACCTGCTTCCATGATGAAGCGGCAGAGCTTGAAGTGGGTCTTGGCCTCTTTGCTCGGCTCCTCGAAGACGGGGAGGCCTCGGTCGGTGAGTTCCATTGCGGCCATGGGGTGTCACCCCTTGCAGAACCTGTAACCCGGTCTCTGATCGACGGATTAAAAGGCCGAAACTTGGTATCAGGGCTCAAGACCAGAGTTCTCAACCGTGAACCCACGAGACTGAACCTCAGAGCAGGAGCCCAGCCAGGCCAGCAAGGGGATGACCCCAGCAACCCCCTACACGGGGCCTCGAATCCACAACTCGCACTGTACCAGGACACGTGGACCCGCGCGTCCCAGATGATGGGAGCATCCATTCGGAAATAAGAATGAGGGGGGGAAAAGATCCAATTATACTTTTTGAAAATATGTAATAATTTAACGTGACTTCTACAATCATCTTCATATATATAGTTAAGTAATAATTACATGTTATACATATTCAGCAGCTTGTAATGTTTTAGGGGTATATAAATTTGTTTTTTAACGAGCACACCCCCTACAATGAAATGGAATCGCCTGAATTGGTTTCGAATGGCCGTGCCAGGGGCCGTGGCAATTTGACGGCGTTGTTGTTTATTTCAAGAGGCGTTTCAGCCAAATAGCACCGCCAGTTTACATTGGCAATGTTTATCCTGTACTCATTTGTTTTTCTAAGTTTACAACGACAAACAGATTGCACCATCAGTTTACATTTCTTTGCCATTAGCTGCACGCTAATATAAGCGAGTCTTAATTTCTCAAATATGTAGAGAAAAAAATAAAATAAAATCCACCGCTATACACGTTCACAACACAATGCACGAATGTGTCCAGCCACTCTACCGCTGGACGTGTGCCTCCCCACGACGTGGCAGGTCCGTGGGGGTTATTCGACCATACTTCACGAGCGCTGGTGTCAGTGTGGGTTAGTTCAGGTACTATAAGCTTCAACGTATATACGGTAACTGTGTTTTTTTGCCGATGCATTATCCCCTGCTGATCACGAAAGTCACACAACGGCCGATAACAGCCTTCTTGGTTCTTTCGGTAAAGTCACGTAGAATGGAAATAAAATAATAATAAAAAAATAATAAAATTCTCACGACGTTTTGGCCACAACACAAGTGGCCGAAACGTCGTGAGATTTTTTATTATTATTTCCCTTCTACGTGGCGACTTTACCGAAAGAACCAAGAAAATGAATCCCTGCAGTCACGAAAGCTTTAAATCGAAATTTAGCCACCTCTACGGGGAGGGATTCCACACAACCTTTAAAATCCTTCGAAGGCCACTTGTGTTGTGGCCGAAACGTCGTAAGAATTTTATTACTTAATTTGTATTATTATTTTATTTACATTCTACGTGGTGACTTTACCAAAAGAACCAAGAAGATGAATCCCTGCAGTCACGAAAAGTTTTAAATCGAAACGATAACAACCTGTTATGCATGGTGCATGGTGATCAGTCATCCAATAGCATAAATGACGTCACGCACCGAGGGGGGGAGGGGTCAGACATTTGTGACGATGTGTGACGAGGGGGGGGAGGGAGGGTTGAGAAATGTGACGTCACATCAAAGTGCGCAACTTTCAATAAATATGAATTAAATAGACACTAATTTTGATTAATTTTCATTATTAACTATTTGGTTATTTAAATTTGCTAAGGTCACCTTTTATTTATTCCATGAAGGAGCGTTTTGCTTCTCCATGGCAGAATGGAGAAGCATACATTTTGTAAGTTTTTTTGAATGATTGTTTTTAAACATTTTAATTCTAATGATTCTACCAGGGCTTTTGATTCTGTGAAATTATTATGTGATTGTTATAATTGTACTCTCCATTTTGCTTCGTTCTACTACAAAGTTTAAAGTATTTTTTATAGTTATGATTACTTTTAATATTTTATGATTATTCTGAACATCTGCAGTTTTAGTTAGACGTTGAATATTTTCAAGTGAATTTTATGCTAAATTTCAGCTTTCCAACGCCTCCTTTTAATACATGTTTGCTCCTTCAACAGCAGAGTGCAGTGCCACATTAAATACGCACTACAATGACAATAGTTTTAGTTTAAAGTGATTTGGAGCATGTTTTATTTTGAAAATGGAAATGTGGTTTTTGGGGGGGGGGGCAGAACTTTGTGACGTCATATTTGAGGGGGGGTCTGACTTTTTGTGACGCCGTATGACGAGGGGGGGAGGCAGGTAAAAAATCGGCCAAAATCGCGTGACGTCATTTATGGACGGCCCCCAACCCCTTATCAGTGCCTACCTTATTACAGACCAATTCAGACCGTATTGGTCACCCCGTGCCCCTTATAAATCTCAACGTTCATTCTCCAAAGTCCCATCACAAGGGAGAAACACAAACAGACATTATTTTTTCTTTGCCCGTATTGAAACGGCTGTACGCCATATGGACCTGAAAACTCAATTTCCCTCTACAAGAATACGGGGTAAACCGTATACAGTGACAGGTATGCAGTACTATCCGCACCTCCGACGAGCACGGTTAGCTACGTATAGTGCGAATGAAGTTCATACACACAGGCTGAAAGATGCTTAGCTTCTGATATTTGATGAGATGGGGGGGGGGGCATTTTGGATGGTTGGGGGGGCATAAACACAGCACACGCGTTCCTTGCCAATTCCCATGGGTGGCATCTATGTAATTAACACGCCTGTGTTATAAAGTAGTCTATTGACATACACCTACGTCGATAATTACGATCCAGAGCAAAATTGTGCTCGAAACATTATTTTGGTTTTAAAATTCGATTTTATTCAGGTGTTACGTCTATGGGCATCACTTCAGCAAATAAACACCGCATGCTTGGCCAGCGATTCCAAGCAGGACTGATGGGGAAAGTGTCCTGGGATTCTGAGACTTTTATTAATAAACAGTTTTTTATTAATTAATAATAGAGTTTTTTTGGGTTAGATCGCGTAAATAAAAACGCTCTATTATGGATATTGGTCGCGAAAGCCTACGAGTTTATATTATTCCAAAATATATATACATTCAGACATGGTAATATTTTGGTGGAGAGGTGGCCCAGTGTTTACGCAATGCGTTATGAACCCATCCACCTAACATCGGTGCTGAATGATACTTATTATTTAACCGTTCCTTGGGCCTTTCAAAAATCTTACACATTTCTGGGAGACTTCCGAAACACACTGGCGGCTGCCAGCGATGAATCAGCCGTCCTGGAAGTCTTCAGCTTAAAACTTGTATTGGCCTCATCACACTTGCTTTAGTACCATCATCTTCAGAATAACCTCCTCTCCGAGCGAGTATTCCAACATCGCGGTCTCGGCGTAGGCCGAGAGGTTTCGGAGAGCAACTTCTAAAGTTGCCCTTTCTCCATAATAACTCACTCACATGGTGCCAAACCCATGTGGACAGCGCCTGCGTGTGTGACTGGCCCTGCCTTAATCACACAAGCGTACGCAAACTAATGTGGGGGAAGGGGTAAGAGTGAGATCAATTTAAACTACAAGCACAATCCTTTTTTTTAAAATCGTCCTTCCAATCGTAACAATATTATTCTGCCAGGCTTTTTTGACTTTGGAGCTGTTATTTCCAAAATGTTATTTTTAAGAGCATTAACCAAAAACAACAACAACAAAAATGTTGCGGAAAAGAGAAACAAAAACCACACCAACGCGTTTAAAGTCATAACAAAACGAGGGGAAAGAAAACAAAGGCAGAGAAAACAAAGCTACCTTTTCCCGTCCCGTCAATAAACACACAATCGGAGTGCGAGGGCGCGGTGCCACGCAGTCTCAATTAAACAGGAAGGTTTGTCGGACCTCGACAAACGCTAAACGACCCCGCGAGCAATTGTAAGTGAAACTGCCAACGGCCTCTGCCATTTACGGTGCCTTTTTTTTGTTGGCACCTCTTGCAACAATAACAACAAAAAAATCAACACTCGCTAATCCCAGCCAATCCATTGCTGGGGACTTCGGTCGAGCAGACTGGCTGTTACCATCTCATCCATAAGTCCATGGCACCGTCTTCAACTATCACCGGCACTGGCAGGTAAAAAAAACACTTCTCGCTCTCCGACGGTGGGCATAGTATCTAACTACATCATCAGCTCAGAGGGTGCCCCAGTCGGTCAGGTCGGGGCCCCCCAAAATTTGATTTGTCTCTCATGGTGGGTGTCAAGGGGGCCCCAAACTCGTAGCTTTGGCCACCCCTTGCACCCCAGGCTCGTTACGCCACTATCCGATTTAATGAGAGGTTTTTTGGGTTAGATCGCGTAAATATATAGGTGTGTCGTTAAACCCGTCCCCACCTGACACAGCCAACTAGTAAGGGTTGTTACGTAAACAGAACGTGGCCAATTCGTCACTAGTACAGCGGTGTGTTGGAGAGCCAAGCCACAACATTTACAATCTGAGTTCGACGTTTCGCCAGTAATTGCAACTAGCTTCATCAGGTGACAGCCAAATTTGTGGAGAAGTCTTACTGTTTCGTTCCTTATATAGAGGCGTAGATGTGGTGACCACACTTCTACGCTCTTGAGTCAACGTACATTGATCTTGTCCTTCCTGTCCATTGCATGTATTAAAACGGTAATCCTATTATGGATTATATTGGTCGCGAAAGCCTATGTGTTAAACTGCTCTCCGATTCTTCCCTCACACTGACTGTTCCTAGTATTCCCCGCCATCATCTCCTTTTCACAAGTCCTCACAATCTTCCTCCATTCAAGAAATGTATCAACTCTTATCTATCACACCTTCCGTAGTGCTGTTCGTGGCTGGCCGTTCTGGCCTGTTGTGCTCCGCAACCGTGATTAAAACACGTCTGCTCTACTTCTCTAAACATGCCGGTGACAGGGTTGACATCTTTAACACATTTGACCTCTATTTCCCATGGTAAACAGAGCAGAATAAGTGAAATAAATAGCATTACTATTGCTAAACTTGTATATATAATATGCTATGTAAGAGGCCATTGAGCAATCACGTAACTTATCCACTTGCCAGGAGAATAATTAAATGGTATTTGTACGCACAATATCATTTGGGATGTGTTCCCTACATTGCCTTTTCACTATAACTTGCCCACGACATCTTAAGAATAATCTGCTTTAGATTGTTAGACGACGATGGCGAGGATGGAGATACTGAATGTGGCTGTAACCACACACACATATATAATTACTGTATAACAATACAACTAGAATTTATGGGTAGGTGAGCACACTCTGAGGAAACAAGTCCCCTTTCACTCACAAAATGAGACCTTGGACTGTGACTGATGAGAAGTTACCCAGGACGTTGGTTTTACAGTGTTCGTTTGCCCAA